CCACAATCAATGCTCATAGAAGCAACAGTAAAAAGATCAGACGACACATGGAAATGGGTAAATTTGCTGCAGAAGACCTCTTTAAAGTGTTGAAAAGCAAAGATGTTACACTGAGGACTAAGGTGTGTCTGACCCAAGCCACGAAATTCTCAATTGCCACATGTGCATGTAAAAGTTGGAGACTGACTAAGGAAGACCAATGTAGGATCCATGCATCTGAATGACGGTGCTAGAGAAGAACACTGTAAGTGCGTGGACTGCCAAAAGGACAAATAAACCCGCTTTGGAATAACCACAGCCAGAATGCTCCTTAGAGGCGAGGATGGCGAGACTTAGCCTCATGCAGTACATTTCACCTGTTACCTGGAGCGACAGTACCGAGAGAAGGACTCCCTGCATGGCAAAGTGGGTGGAAAGTGGATCAGTCGCTGTGCTTTCACACTGCGTCCCTTTTCACCAATATCCCTGCCCTAGAGCTCTACATATATTGAGTTTCGTTCTCCTTGCAATTGCCCTACAGAGCTCCCCAACAATAGTCACAATCGAAGGTGTTGATTAGGGGGTTTAGGGAACCCTGGTGGTATAGTAGGTTAGGCCTTGGACTGCTAACCACAAGGCCAGCAGTTCAAAACCATCAGCCTCTCTGAGGAAGAAAGATGAGACTTTCTATTCCCATAAAGATTATAATCTCTGAAACCCCCAGGGACAGTTCTACTCTTTCCTATAGGAAGACTCTGAATCAGAATTGATTCAATAGCCATGAGCTACTGTGTGTGTGTGCTTTTAATTAGTAATTAACAGGTTTCCACAAATCAGGAACAGAAAACAGTAAGGATATAGTCATTGATCCGCAGCACCACCTGTCCTCAGCCACCAGCCTAATCTCTGGTTCTCAGCTTCTTGGAAACGTGATCCCGTGGCTGCTGTCTCTGTGGACTAGGAAACTCACTGGTCACGCTCACAGTCTCAATACTTCTGGTCTGTTTCATGGTGCCTTGTCTTGGCCTCTGGTTTCAGCCTGGCTCCTTTGCTCTATCCTATGGTCTCCGTGTCACAGGTGGTGGTGTCAGCCTCAGCCACTTCAGACAGAGGTCTCAAATGTGCTTTCCCATGATCCTGAGATATCTCTCTCTGTCTGAGGTGGCTTTTATAGAGAGAGAAATGGCTCAGATGGATTTGTGGGTTTTGTCTTGGAGCGGACCATACCCCCAAGAAAACAAAGGGCATGGCTTGGTTCAAACACTCTTCTAAGGCCAAGACTTAATCCCACCCTAATTCTATTAGTATAGCAGAGAATTGCCTCTAAAATGAGATAAC